AAAAAATGAAAATTAGAAAATACACTGAACAAATCTATGATGGCCGGTCAGTGTAATGGGAAGGGGAGGAGGGGAGGGAGAGGTTTAGCACAGACGGAACAGAAAAAAGATGATCAAGATCATACAAAAAATCATCGAAAAAACGCAACAGATTGGAATACTCTAGCACTTACAACTTCTTAGGTATCAATAATTGACTAAAAATATACCTATTTTTTGATACCGAAAAGATTTTCGAATAACCACGATAATAATTTAACTTCTTAAGCGCATAAATCACTGTTTGGTTTTTTGAAATTTCGACAAAAAAAATAACGGAAATTCATTTTCTTCCCTATTTGTGACGCTTTATTGCCCATTTTGCAAAAACATTTTTCTTCTCAAATTGAAAATTCATTAATATCGATCCCCCCCCCCCCCCCCCTTCCCAGTCAAAAAGGTTACCTCACCGATGGCAATATTCGGAGCGAGACGTCGCTGCTCATGAAAATTTGGGGACAGCCAAAGTCCGGCCAAGTATGTCTATCAGAAAAATCGTTAAAATTTGTTAATCCCTTCAAGAGACGAAACGAATGTCGGGGTCACGTCACCGGCACGCTGACCACCGGGCAATGCAGAAACGGTCAAAGCAACTGGAAAAGTTACCATTTTCACAACTGGACTATCGGATTATGAATTTTTTGTATTCATGTGCCAGCAAGAATGGCTGAAAATAACCACCAAGGTCGCTGGGGCTACTGGTGAGGAACGGGAGAAAGTCTTCGAGGTCACTAATGTGCCAGCAAATTGCTAGATATAAAAAGCATTAACGGCCACAAAATCGTCTTGGTAATAATCCACTATTTCTCGCAATCGCAAATTATTTCGATGATAATTCAGGGATAAAAATAACGGCAGAATGTTTTGGGAAAAATTCAAAGAATCCAGAAAACATTGAGTCCGGGGAAAATCGGTGCAGCAGCAGTAGCAATAGCAGCTGTATTCTCATTCATCTTTCTTCACGGGCTTCCCATTTTCCCATGGGGTAATTGTGACAGTTGCTCTTGCCGGCTTCTCCACCTCCTTTTTCGCTCCTTTTTTCACGCATTTACGTGTAGCCGATGCAGCAATTTGCGAATATTTCACGTAATTAATACCCAACTGACGCCACATCCCTGAAAGAAATCCTGCCATCAGTTTGCTTGTAAGCAATCGTAAAGAGAGAGCGGTCATCGAAAATTTTGCTAGCGAAAAGTCATTTCTGGCATTTGTAACTGCTTTCAAATGCCTTCCTTCTTAAAAAAGGAAGTGAATATGGATGGAGTTTTGAGTTCCCATGAAACAAAAACCGGGCGGCGAGGAGGTAAATCAGAGACGATGAATAAAAGAGAGGTTAATGTTTCAAATATTCTCAAAATCACATGCAACTACGTCTGATTCTTACTGATTTTGATCCATACATGCAACGGATTAGGAAAAGATGAAAATTACAACAGCACGTGAAGATGTAGCATCCAGGCACTGAATTAGAGGCTTCGGTAATTACTTCGTCAGAACATATCCCTGTTATGCCAATAGGCGGAACCGGGGGAGAACAAAGGGGAAGACGGGGGAGGGGGAGAAAACAA